AAATGTATTATTTATACCATTCATTGATTAAGCTTTATATCAATCATTCTTAAAGATTAAGCATTTAATTTCCCGATAATCAATGCAGGCCTCAAGACGCACGCACCATGTTAACATTGGCATTTTAAGTGTTATTGATCATTTAAGGTTCGGCTCGCTGGTGATGGGAAAACAAACGGACAGTTTACCTTTCAAAATGATATTTAGAAATGACTAGTATTTAACGCCATCTCAGTGAATGAGAAATTATATCTAAAGAAAAGCTCTGTTATTAATTAGGGATGATTGAAAAGTGTCTATACAAAGTACGGGACACAGGGGAAGACACTTGTTACACTTTGCCAGTAAGGTGCATCGAGGAAGCAAGAATTTGGATGAAAAAATGATCATTTCAATTGCAGTCCTATGTAATACCCTCTGATATCAGAAGATTCTGAAATAATATCCAAAATTTAAGTATCAGAGCGATGCAATAATTTTGTTGCAGACTACTAGCGCGCTCTGTAGCTGTGTAATATAAGAAACTAAATGAAACGAAATAGATAAAGTTAAAAAAATTTGCTTCTGTAAAGTGTGAGTGAATCAGTAAGTAGAATGATATATTGTATGCGGTTTAAAATCACCTAAAACAGAGCACAGACTCATGAATGGATAGTCTTGAAAAAGACGTATACAGATCGATATCACTTACTCTACCACTATGCACCATACAAATGGTTGAAGTCAACCGGGTTTCAAAATTGACTATCAGATCTTAAATGTCGTGTTCGAAATCGGCATACATGTAGGAATATGGGGCCTACACGTGTGATTTGCACAAATCTGAAATATGGGCAATGTAAGCCAACACATGTTAAATTGGGTATCACTTTACTAGTGAAAAGAAACTATATAATAATAATAATAATAATAATAATAATAATAGCTCCCTATTTTTATAGTTCCTGTACCGCACGAAAAAATGATTTACTAACCCCAGTTATATCATAGTAACATGCTTTTACGCAAAGAGTAGAATTAAATCATTCTAGTGCATGACTCATCATGATGGGCGATTAACAAACTTATCGTCATAAAAACATTAGCATTACAGTAGGTATTGATCTGAAAATCGCAATGTCACTTGTGATACACGAATGATGGAAAAATTGCAAATTATCTGACATGAGAACACAATTGTTTCATCATCATAATACACCCGTGGGGCTGTAAATTAAACATTTTGTCGCGGGAATTTAATTATTAGAAAAAAGAAGGCTTGCACTTTTCAGTTTACATGTACACCTGGACTGAACTGTAATCCCTTATTGGAGTTTCTACTAAATAAATAAATAAATAAATAGCAAGGGAAATTAACTGTACAATCGACGGCAATTCAATATGTGCTCGTCACGTATCACGGAATGAAACCATTCGTCATTTCAAGGTGACTTTGGTGGTGCCCTGAACATGGCTCAGCAAGAAAGTGCCATATATATATAAATAGTAGACCTAAGAACTGAATTCTCAGATGATCTCAGACAATGGAACACAGGTGACCATATTGCCGATTCCCAGCTACGCGGGCAGTTAAACCCGCAGCTACGCGGGGCAGTTAAACCCGCCTATGAACATCGAATCAATAAATATCTGAGTCGGTTGATGTCGCCCTTGCTCTACCAAGGTAAGTTCACCAGCATTATATCTATTTTTTTCCAAAAGAAAACTCACCATTTATCAAGTTCATAATCAGTACCTGAATTACTTCATCGCATGAAATCTTTATAGAATGACAGAATACAAAATTTGTAAACATATGTATATACAGCAAGCTTGCACGCAGACAGACAATATTGCTCCAATACAGCCTACACTATAGTTCCTCGAAAGATTTGTTTTGTCTTGCCCAGAAACCGCGATGCTAATGGTATCAATGCTATTTAGCGTTCGATAATCTTCATGTAAATACGACCAGCAAAAGGAATGGACAGTTATCATAAAAATATTAGGAAGCTACATTCATATAACGTACGACAGCAATACAGCTGCTTGTCCTCACGTGAATGTCCAAAATATACATACCAGCAGAAAGGCATGAATATTTAATGGTATTGCATACGAATAATTAAACCACCTGAACTAGATCATTAAAGTCTTAATTTTTTTAAATTTTTCTTTATTTTTATTCGAATTAACACATTGTGAAACGAACGGGAATGTAAAAATCAATAATGGCAGGGGATTCCCCCTCTGCAGCTATCCAAACGACATTTAATCGATATGTCTGCGTAGTAATACAAGATCAATAACTCAGCCATTTTGCATAGAAAATATGCCATCATATCAGAGGCCTTGCTTAATACATTGCTTTTCATTGAGTAAATATGGGCCAATCTGTCTAATATTTCATATCTTTCAAAGCGATCTACGCATAAGAACATAGATATGGGCTAGCACGGGCTTTACCATAGTTCGTACAGTTTAAAACCCCGGTAGAGAGCATTCGTTATCTATCATGCCATAAGTCACCCGATAATTAAAAGTAGTTCGTTTTATTAAGTCAGGCAAAACGAAACGTATCTTTTCCATATGTAGATCAATTTGAGTTAACATACAGTTTTGTATCTCTGTAAATTGGTATACGTAGTGATCTGTGTTTACAGATGGCAGAAGCACAACGCAGCAACATCAATGACGAGAATGGCTGCGAGATTGCTTCATATTTGTCGGACACAAAAAAGAAAGACGATGACAAAATTAGAAAATACGAGCTGGTCATATACCATGATGAAGACGACAGTGCTCACGCAGACTTCATTGAAAAATCCTTGATGGCAGCCCTTCGAGGTAGTGGTGTAAAATCATGGAAGTTTCAACCAGGGCTGAAAAAAGAAAAGACTGTTTTTATAGTCGACAGCAGAGGATGCATAGTTGACTCCACTACTTACGATGAACGCCTGTACCACCCTAAAGTCTTCGGTACGTCGAAACCAGTGCATGTCTTTCTGTTCTCAAGCAAGCATATGAGCAACAGAGAAAGTCACTTGTGCCGTTTGATGTTGGAGAAGTATGAGAAACATGCCAACAGGGTGATTGGAATTTTGGTGGATGACACCACTTTTACCACCAAACGTCGCAAATTACCTAGGATCAAATGGGTTGGTTTTCATGATCCGAACTTTTCGCAGACTTTTCGAGAGGCAATAGTTAGTCAGCCTTTCATACCGTTAGATCTATTTACGCCAAGGAACCTTTCGTTTAAAAATGCTCGGCGACATTCTAAAAGTTATCCCGGCGAAACAGTGGGCAAACCCATTGCTACGAACTTGAAGAGGTCAGCGTGTCAGTCTCCAGACATTCTTCAAATGTCCCAGAAACGAATGCTCAACGAAGGTGACCCATTTGGCAATGAGAACGATACACAAGAAAAAATTGTTAGTAAAAGGGTCGAAGATACAGGGGCAAGCGACGGGACGATCTCTTGTGACCACAATACCTCGTTTCATGAGGCAATGCCAACAGAGACAAAACCTGCCGACACGGAAAATATCGACGCTATTCAAGTACGAAGTCTTCTGGGTTCTATAAGAGAGGTAATCCAAGCAAATGGCGTAAAACTTGATGAAATTCAACGTGCAAGTGATCAGCACGATAAAACTATCCGTCTTGTCAAGCATGAGCAGCGGCAGGTAAAGAATGTTGTAACCACCGTGCAACAACAGCTGACTAGTCTGGAAGCCGCGCAAGAACAGGTACTAAAGGAGGTACAGAACCTGAAGTCACCCGAGTACCAATCTAGTGAACCCGCAGCAGACATTGTGCCATCAGAATTACATGGTCTGTTTATGGAACTGAAAGATAAAATAGGTAAATGTTTTTTTTTAAATGAAAAAAAATCAAGTCAGAAATATGAAGTTGATGTGCTGGTTTAGAATTTTTTTTTTTTGTGCTAATTTCCAAACTGAGTTACTCGTGCCCTTTCATTACTTCTCATATTGAATATGCGTATAGATAATATAGATTGGATTCCCTTCAACCTCACCAAACTACTTATCACTACGTCTTAAAAGATAATTAGCTTGGGCTCGTATAATATGTCCAAGTCTTAAGTTACAACATTCAGTGATTTCTATGATGAATCCATAGTGACTACAGTTTTATCTTTGATCTGATATTATTCTTTAAGGTGACCTTTGGATCTTAGTTGCCGTGTATCTAAGACTACCAAAGAAGATAATCGATGACATCCGTATTAAATATGAGCAGCATGGGAGAGAAGTACAGATCTACTTCATGCTGGAGACATGGGTGCGGTTGAAGGGGGCCGACTTGAACGCACTGAAAGCTGCTGTATCTGCCGTAGGACTACGGGCCGTTATGGAAGGTATTGGGAATGAAAGATTGCACAGTGATTTCATGATATGTATTAATATGAAGCTTACATACCACACTGATTATAATAAAAATTAAACTTTGTGGGTTTTCTAAAATTTGCGTTTGGTAGCTGTTTGACATGCCCTGACACAGTTGTCATATTAACTTGTCATAAGCATTATTTAAGCACTTCATGCCTGCCAGTCAAGCAAACAATTTATTAATAATTATATACATAAATGACTAAATGTAAACAAATTGTTAAATACAAACCGACCGTTCTACAGGTCGATCTATGCCTCTTGAAAAGCTGTACATTCTGAGATGCAGCCGCGGCCAGATGGTGGACGATCTTCTTCTTGCACCACTCATCTGCGACTATCTGATGGAAGACGGGATCCTTACCATGACGGAGAGAAACGCGGTGTGTCTGGAGCCTACTGACCACAGGAAAGCTTCTAAACTTCTGGACATATTGGAATGCAAAGATGATGATGCTTTTTATAAGTTCGTCAATGCCTTATGGAGAACAGGACAGCGGCATTTAGCAGAGGCACTCTATGTTGGCGCTGACCGCAAGTCTTTAATACTTCAGGCTGATGCCTTTGGAAATTATGATAGTGAAACGTGTGGTAAACAGATATACTCTGACAACACGGACTTGAAATTGCCAACAATGTGTACGCAATCTTCTTAATGCATTTTAAGGGCACTTTTCAGGGACGTAAATAATATCATTCACTGTATAGTATACCTTTTTTGTGTCCAAGAGCCAAAAGGGAAACTTGACTTCAGAGCATCAAAGTTCTGGGTTTAATATACATCTTCCGGCACACAAATTTCCTCGTTTCCTTAAGCCTTTGACTGTCCCCAAAACCATTGCTAGTCCATTTTAGAGCACTAGTCAACTGATATTCCTCAACAAAGATTTGCTGTATTCATTGTCTTGTTGGAAATTTTACTTAATTTCTTGCCATATAGTCTTTCTTTTATTTTTGTGGTATAAAACAGAAAACATAACTATGCATTTTAAAATTGTGCTCTGATTTTAGTTATATTAAATTTATCTGAATAAGTTGCTCAGTTTTGAGCTTTGGATACACTTAAAACGTTTGTGATAACCTTTTAATCAACAAACAAATGAAACGTAACAAACAAATAAAAATAAATGTGAATATACATTTTTCATGTTTCTTTTCATTTTCTGTAAGACAAACTTCTTGCTTTACCACATCTTTTTTTTATTGATTGATTCACTTTGTTATATTTTTATAAAAGTATAAGTGGCATATAATGGAAATGTATTTTTGTTTCTCTGATTACAATTGCCACTATACATGAATACCAATGTCATTTTTATATATTTCAATTAAATCAACTTAAGATTAGCTTCTCATGTGTGATGTTTTTCAGGATCAATTTAATACACAAAATAAATAAATAAATAAACAAATAAATAGTTTCCATCACTTTACAGACTACATGATTTAACTTCATCTTGTTATAAAAAACGTCAAGGGTATATATATATCCTAATTATTTTAAAACAATGGATACTGTATTTATGATAATTATAATTTGCACAGTCTGTTTACTATTAAAACACATGGATTATCTTGATACGGCAGTGCTGTCCAATTGGTCATGATAAAGATTCAGCAGGATGAGGTAAGATTTCGCATACAACAAAACCTTCAGTTTGGAATGCAGTTATCATGTCAGTCTAAAACAGATTATGAATAATTAAATAATTGAAGAACAACTAAGTAAACATTCAAAGAAAAAAGTAGTTGACATGAGTGTAAAGTAAAATTTAGACCCATTTTTGTAGAAATAAATATTTCACAATAAATATAAACTTTAAGACTGCATTCCAACAGATTTTAGATTGATCTATCCCCGTCGGGAGTCTCACTAGATTGCTGTAAGCTTAGCCGGCTTAAATGTCTGCCTGCCTACTAAAAGCTGTAAGGGTAATTAACTTTCGTGCACACTCGGCTGATAGCAATTTAGCATGAACCCCCAGGGAGTTAAGTCGATCCAGATGGATCGATCTAAATCTGTGGGAACCCAGTCTAAGTAACCCAAAGGCTCTTAGAAAATTCTTAAATAATTCTTTAATAATAATCTACTAAGAAATATCGATTTTCACAAACTTACCACTTTGTTTTTATCCAGGCACAGTCCTATGACAGCACCACCACTACCAGGAAATTTAACAGCAGAGCCAAACTGCCGAGCTATCTCCACCATTCTTAAATTAGCCTCACCAAGAGCAGCATCACCAAATATCTGTCTAATTATGAAAATGATTGATTGATAAAAATGGACTTTTTTTAAGGTGTAACATTTCTTTTCATTTTAAGGATTATGCATCATTGTTTATTAAGGTCTGAAATTCTGTCATATAGAACTAAAGGTGTACAAGCAGTCTCAGTGATAATTTCTAGTCTTTATGCTTGACTTTGTAAGTGATTTTTTTGCTCATAACTATACAGTAGATTTTAGGATGACAGGATAAACCATACATAAATAATAGTGAGCCTGCCTAACTGGTAAAAACTTAAAACTTTTTTTATAATGTCTAATTTGTATGTAATTAGTATTTTTTCTTCCTTAATCAAGTTGTACCTTCGAAGGTCGAAGTTCTCATCCATTAGTGCTGCCAGTCTCTCCCAGTCATGTTGCTCAATGCTCTCTCTAGCAGCATAAAATAGAATAATAAATATTAGAACAAAGCAAAAAAGTTCAAATCAAAAAGACTGTATATTAAATCAGTTCCCTCTCTCTCTATCTCTCTCTCTCTTTCTCTCATGATCAAGATCATAAGATCATTTCTTTTGGAAAGGAATGGGTGCCGTTTCTGCCCTTTCTGGGCCCCTTGAATCAGTCAATGCTTGGTGTGGTGTGTTTGTGTATTTGATTTACCTGGCACTGTCTGTAATCTGAGCAAATCTTTGCATAGCACCAATTACTTCAGAATCCCCTAAAAAGAAATGTTAGGCATTTTAACATGATTTAAAATTTCAAATCCAATCCAAAAAAGTAAAACCAATTAATTTACAAATTTTTACTTATTTTTAGATGTCCCAAATAGTGACATGAATTATCTTTACTCAATTGTTACTTAGCTTTATCTAAAATCTTTTTCTGAAAGTTATACACTACCTGCATTCCATCGCTCCTTAATATTACTATGTATTTTTCCAGAATCACTAGGATCTGCTATATAAGCCAGCCAAAATGAAGGAAGGGCATCTATATTCAAAGGAATGTAATTTCCTGAAAGATGATTGAATAACAGTCAATAAAACAACTAAGACATAATGGCAAAAAGATCTATAGCAAAAAAGATCTATCCTGTCCTCCCATTACCAACAAAACCTGTCTTATTTTGGCTTATATACACCGATGGCCTTAAAATCTTTTAATGATTTTTAAAAATACTTCAAAGATTTGACTTATAAAAACTTTATGATGAAAAGCCATTTATGCCATTCAAGCTGATGCAATAAACCACCATCTGTATATAATATTAAAGCATTAGAAGGCTGGTAATCTATACCGACACCTACTCTACATTAAATTGCATTTTATGCAACCATTACATATAAATTATGAGAATTCAAAGGACCCACATGCTAAAATATGCACTTTATAGTACTGTAGGAGTAAGTGGGTGGGAAATGCAACAACAGCTGACATACACATTTGATTTGTTCCACATAAGACTGTCAACTGTTGATTATGAATTACTGTACATTTAAACATTGGCCAAAAAACATCCCTAAGATGGACTGTCAAAGTCAGTGTGCAGAAAACAATGTCTCTCACCAAATTGGAAGTTGTCAACTCAAAGTCTGTTAAGTAGGCTAAGAGCGGATTCTCAACGAATTGAGCCAGGCTTTACAAAGCCGGTGACCTAAAAATGGCGGACGTACATGAAAGAAAAACCGCCTAATCTTTTAATAGTCTCTCCGCCTCCCCACACGTCGTCCCTGCGGGGTACAGTAATTAAATCTCGGCTCCAACCTCCAACTACATCTACTGGGGCTGGGTAGTTCTGTGAATATCTCTGGTGATATTATCTCCATAGATAGTCGATTCGTTGCTGCTCTACGGGCCAATTCATTCTTTTTTCGTCTCCGTTTTGACAGATAATAAAACAGAAGAGCTTTTTTCCTTCGAATGCCTTCAGCCGCCATGCTTTCCTCACCACGAGTTTAACTGATGAGCATGCGCACTTAATATTTCTCAGGTAGCTTCCGCATGGCGAACGGAGCCGAGATTTAATTACTGTATCCCGCAGGGATGACGTGTGGGGAGGCGGAGAGACTATTAAAAGATTAGGCGGTTTTCTTTCATGTACGTCCGCCATTTTTAGGTCACCGGCTTTGTAAAGCCTGGCTCAATTCGTTGAGAATCCGCTCT